AAAACCAAAGGTGTCTTTTTGAGGGAGCACTAAGACGGTCTGGCCAAGCCATGATCTTTTCAATTGCCTCATATGCAGGTGAAAGCTAGACTCTGAAAAGAAAGGCAGAACTGACGCCTTTGCATTGTAGTGGTGCCAAAAAATATGAAATATATTATGGATGTGCATCTGAGAGCTGGACAATGACTACGGATGACAGGGAAAGAATTGACACCTTTGAGCCGTGATGTTGGAGAAGAGCACTGAACATCCCATGGACGGCCAAGAAAACGAATAGATATGTCTGGGAGAGGGTGCAGCCACAGTGCTCTCTGGAGGCAAGAATGATGAGGCTTCGCCTCACATACTTTGGGCATGTTTCTAGGAGGGGCCATTCCTTGGAGAGGCACATAATGCTGGGAAGGGTGGGGGGTCGGCGAAGGAGAGGAAGACTCTCAAGCAGGTGGATTGATGCTGTGACTGCTGTGATGGGCTCTGTGTGTCAGGAAGAGTGAGGATGGCGCAGGATAGAATAGCGTCCAGATCCTTTATTCATAGGGTCGCTATGAGTCGTACTTGACTCAACAGCACCTAACAACAACAACAACATGGCCTCATGTGAAACCTATACTTGGGCCAGGAAGCAGTAGTCAGAACAGAGCAGGGAGACACTGCATGGTTCAGGATCAGGAAAGGTGTGCGTGTCAGGAATGCATCCTATCCCCATAACTTTTTAACCTATATGCAGAACAGATCATTTGGGAAGCTAGACTTTATGAGAATGTGGCATCAGGATTAGAGGAAGACTCATCAACAACCTGCAGATGATACAATCTTGTTTGCTGAAACCAAAAAGGACATGAGGTGTCTGCTGCAGAAGGGCAAGGACTATAGTCTTCAATATGGATCGAAGCTCAACATCAAGAAAACAGATTCTCACCATTGGGCCTATTGACAGCTTCATAATGGACGGAGAAATGATTGAGATTGTTAACAGCTTCAGCTTGCTTGATTCCACAATCAACACTCTCGGTACCAGCAGTCAAGAAATTAAAAGACAAATTGCATTAGAAGATTCTGCTGTCAAGGACCTCTCTAGAGTACTGAAGAGCAATGATGTCAGTCTAGAGACGAAGGTGTGCCTGATTCAGGTCATGGTCTTTGCAATTACTTGCTATGTAACAGAGAGTTGGACAATAACAAAGGATAACAGAAGGACTGATGCCTTTGAGTTGTGGTGCTGGAGAAGAGTGTTGAACAGAATAAACAGGTCTGTCCCAGAGGCTGAAACCACGCTGCTCCCTGGAGGCTAGGCTTCTGAAGTTCTGTCTTACACACTTTGTGCCCATGGGCGGGAGGGACCAGTCCTTGGAGAAGGACATCATGCCTTGAAGGGTGGAGGGACAGTGCAGGAGAGGAAGACCCAGGATGAGATGGACTGACTCAGTGTGACTGGAGCAATGGGATTAGGCCTATCAGAGATGATGAAATTGGTCCAGGATAGGGCAGCTTTCAGAGCTAATGTACACAGGGTTGCTATGAGCTGCAGGTGACTTGATGGTAACAACAACATGCCTTCCCTGAAGAGAGTGCAAATCTAATTAGAAGAAGTGCAGCCAGAAGATTCTTTGGACACAAGGCTGACCGTGTCTCATGTACTTTAGATGTGTTATCAGGAGGGACCGGGCCCTGGAGGACATCATGCTCAGTAAAGTCAGGGGTCTGCAAATAAGAGGAAGACTCTCACCAAGGCGGAATGACACAGCAGTTGCAACACTGTGGGAAGCCGAATATCAAATTAAATATTAATAATAAACCAAATGCTGTTTCAGGATATGAGGGAGGCATAATACAAGCTGAAATTCACTCTGAGGCACTAAGGCAGGCATTCCTTAAGAGTCAACATCGTTCTTAGTTTGTATTTACTGAATCCCTCTTTCTTGAGCTAAGCATAAGGTAAACAATAGAGAACTCCACCTTATCTGCAAAAGACTTCCCCATGATCCTTTGTTTTTTTCTATTTCCTTGTGATTATCCTTTACCTTCCTGATGATTCTCAATAAATACACAGAGAGGCATGGCTTGGGCGCTTCGGTCATCAGGACTGCTGGTCCTCTGTCTTTACTCTCTGTCTAATCTCATTCTTGGTTATCTGTCTCATTATTAATAATTACTTCTCTCAGTCTGCAACACAACCCTGGGCTTGAACACAGCAATGAGGATGTGGATGGCACAGGACCGGCTGGGTGTTGCTTTGTTGTACGTGGGGTTGTAAGCAGAAGCAGCTCAAATGTACATGTGTTGTGTTCTATTGAGCTGGAACCAACCCACAGCTGACCCTCCCATGGGTTTTCAGAAGCTGTAAACTGCATGAGAGGAGACTGCCCATCTTTCTCCCATGGACTTGAACCGTGTGCCTTTGGGTTGCCAGGGTCACTCTTTACCATGAGGCCACCAGAGCTCCCACCAGAGCAAGGATACCTGGGATGCTGAAATGTCCCACCCAGGTGACGCCCCTTCCTCTGCCTGCTCTCCCTGCCCCACCTGCACGAGCCAGAAGGGGCCATGAGGGGCCACCGCAAAGCCTTTGACTCACCATCCCGCCCATGGTGCCACCTGTGGGACAAAAGAGCAGTTGGTGGACAGGCCCCGGGTTCCCTCCCCAGATCTCAAGACTCCACCTCAAACTTCTCCCAGGTGACTGAGGGGGTCTTTCCCAGACCGGGCCACGCCTCTCTGTCACCTCTGCTCCATACTCCCAGTGTATACTCTCCCCACAGCTACCGTGCACAGGGTCGCTATGAGTCAGAAGAGACTTGATGGCAGCACATAACAACTGGACACTGAGAAAACACTCTCCTTTATATCCTCATATGTATGCTCTTCTCTGTATACTGAGTACATACACTCTCCTCTGTACACACACTCTCCTCTATATACTCCATACATATATTCCCCTCTATATCCTCTGTACACATACTTTCCTCTGTATACTCAGTACATATACTCTATATATTCCAAGAGGACATAGAAAAACAGCACAGGTGGAAACAAACCATCTGCAAGAGGGGGTTTTGCATTCCCTGACAGACATGGGGACCCTCCCTGGGCCCTTCACCACACCTCACCACTCAGAACATACTTCCCTGATCTGATGGGGAGATAACTAAGTTATCTTTAGGGATCCTGAAGCCAGAGGGCAGGGTGTCCACAAGTCAATGTGTAGGTGGACCTCACCTCTTTTCACAAGTGCAGGGAGGGGGGAAGGCGAGCTCTCCCTGGCCCCCCCCATCTGGAACCCAACCTTCCAGGTCCCAGCTGAGGCTAGGGCTCCTCACCGAAGCTGTGGCCCATGAGGGAAAAGCGATTCCACTTCAAGGCTGAAACACAGGGGGCCGAGAAGGTCTGGATGGGCCTCTCTGCTTCCCCCCCTCCAAGCCCCCTGTTTCCTGCAGAAATCCCTTCTTAGTTTCTGGGTTGCCCCCATTCCCAGACAGTCCCTGAGAGGAGCCTCAGCAGCTGGACACGCAGAAGGGAGATCTTCACAACCACTGTGTACTGTTCCCAAGTCACCCGGGGTGACTGTCCTGCCCAGCCACACTCCTTCAATGCCATGTCCCCATTGAACGATGACAGGGGCTGTCCCAGAGCTCTGCGCCCCCTCACCTGCTGCCACTCTCCGGATATCAGCCACAAAGTCTTGGCCGTAATACGGGAGGCCAGGGCTCCGGTGGGATGACAGCCCGTGGCCCACCCAATCCATGGCCACGTAGTAGAAATCTGTGATAGAGACAGAAACAGGTGGACACGGTGTCCTCACCAGCCATCTCTGCCTCTGACCCCCACGCTGGTCCCCAGCCCCACCTTGAGGGAGAAGGGGGATGAGTCTGTCAAAGGAGTTGGCGTTGTCCAGCCAGCCGTGCAGGCAGAGAACCGGGGGGCCTTTCAGGGAACCCCAGGCTTTGGCAGCAATGTGGCCCCAGGGCACAGCCACCTTCAGCTCCGAGAACAGACCTGAAAGGCAGGCGTGTATTCATCTCACCCGCGGCGGGAGGCGTCCGCCTGGGGAAGGGGTGCTTGGTGGCGCGGGTGGGATGCTCCAGATTTTAGGGGGTTAATGGGTGTCCAGTGCTCGTTTCACGAGCGATGAGCCTTTTCCCTTTTCTGCAACCGCGAGCGAGCGCAGCAACACCCGGGGGCGCCCCCGAGCCTCCCCGGGCACAGCGCTCCGCCGGCTCCGTCCCGCGCCCTCCCTCTCCAGGGTCCCCCGCTCGAGGACGCCCTCACTTCAGACAGGAAGCTGGGGCGCAGCGGAGCGCACAGAAGCTGGAGCGCACAGCCGGGAGCACAGGGGCAGCGAGAGGCAGCGAGAGGCGAGAGGCAGAGAGGGGCAGCGAGGGGTAGCGAGGGGCAGCGAGGGGCAGCGCAGGCCCCAGTCGTCCGGCTCTGGGGGCCACCACCGGCCAGCGCCGCCCTCTGCACTCCGCACCCCACTCCCAGGACGCGCCCCGCGGGGTCCCCCCTGAACTCTGGGGTCCCGGGAGTCTGATGAAGGGGCTGTGCGCGACCCCTCCCTCCCCTACCCCTCCGTGGTCCCCGATAGTGGGTGCGCGCGGGGCCGACCCGTCCCACTGCGGGCTGGGGGTCCCTGGGAGGGAGGTTTTCACCCATGGCTCCCGCTCCGAGGACGCGCGGCTGTCAATTCATCCCTACGAGTAGCGACAAAGGACAGGAGACTCAGGAGCGCCCGGTGCGCCCCGCCCCTTCCCCAGGCCACGCCCACACACGGACTCGCCCCCCCGCTACATGCTAAGCCCCACACCGACCCGCCCCCTCCACAGGCCACGCCCACACATGCCCCCATGACCCAGGCCCCGCCCCCTCTTGCCCTCCTAAGCCTGAGTCTCGGGCTGCCTCCGTCTCCTCCTTCTTTTCCTCCTCCTCCTCCTCCTTCCCCTCCTTCTTTTTAATTAATTTTAATGAAAGTTTACAGAAACTCAGTGTTTCCAGTCCTTCATTGTTAAACTTTTCTCCCTGCCCCTCCCCGCCCCTCCAATTCACTCTTCTCCTTGAAAAGTAAAACTCTTTTTTTTTGAAAAGTAAAACTCTTTTATTGTTATCCAAGTCCTCCCTCCAAGTCCACTCCACTATGCAGCCTTCATTCTAGACTCCTGTCATGACAATACCTAATCACATATCCATTTAAAACAGATCTCCCCCTCATCTGTTTCAAAGCAGTGTACAACATTCCTCCCCTCTGTCTTCCCTCAACCCCGATGTCAGTCCTGTTTTACACCAGTGGCACTATGCAGTATTTGTCCTTTTGTGACTGAGATATTTCACTCAGCATAATGTCCTCGAGGGTCATCCACTTTTCATAGTATTTCATGAGTTCCTTGTTTTCAATGCAGCATAGTATCCCATTGTATGAATATACCACAGCTTCTCTATCCATTGTTTGTTGATGGGCACGTGGGTTGTTTCCAGCTCTTTGCTACTGTCAACAAAGCAGCGATAAACATGGGTGTGTCACTCCTGCTTCTTTAAACTCAGTCTTTAAAGTGACATCCTTGCTCTTTAGCACCTTGGAGAAGTCCTTGATAGCAGATTTTCCAAACTCAATACATCTTTTGATTTCTTGACCTTTGCTCCCGAGCAGTTTGGGTTGTGGGTCCAAGCTAACCGAAATCCTTGATCACACCAACCTTTTCTCCACCTATCGTGATAGATTATGTGTTGGTCCCGTGGTGAGGATTTTTGTTCAAAGACTAAGGTATGCTTGATCTAAGCAATGGAATTTTGTATTGCTTTCTATGCATCCAAAAGCCAGACAATGGATAAGGAAGACTGAGAAATAGATGCCTTTGGATTGTGTTACTGGAGAAGAGTGAAGAATATCCCATGAACCGTGAAAAGAACAACAACAACAACAACAACAGAAAATCTGCCTTGAAGAAGTGCCAGAATGCTCCTCAGAGGCAAGGATGGTGAAACTTGGTCTCACATACTTTGGGTATGTTGTCAGGAGGGGCCAATGCTTGGAAAAGGACAGCATACTGGAAAGGTAGAGGGGCAGAGAAGGAAAGGAAGACTCTCAACAAGACAGATCCACACAGTGACTGAACTAATGGACTGGAGCAAGGTTCAGAGCTGATGTGTACAGGCCACTGTGAGGGATGTTAGGTGCCTTCAGGTCCAGAATTACTCACAGTGACCCTGTGAACAACAGACCTGAACCCTGTCCTACACACCTGAGCCCATCGCTGCAGTCACTGTGTCAATCCATCTCGTTGAGGGTCTTCTTTTCTTCTGCCGACCCCTCCACCTTTCTTAGCATGATATCTCTTTCCAAGGAATAGCCTCTCCTAGCAACATGCTCAAAGTATGTGTGAGAAGCTTTGACATCCCTCCCTCCATCGAGCACTCTGGCTGCACTTTTCCCAAGACATATCTGTTCTTTTGGCAGTCCCTGGGATATTCAGTACTCTTTCTAATTTCAGAGCTCAAAGGCATCAGTTCTTCTGTCATCATTATTCATTATCCAGCTCTCAGATAGCAAATGATTGAGAAGACCACAGCATGAATCAGGCGCACCTTAGTCTTCAAAGTGACATTATTGCTCCTGGTAATTTATAGAAGTCCCAAAAGTGAACTTTTCACAGTGCAACATATCTCCTGACCTCCTGAACTCTGGCACCAGGTGTGTTGATTGCAAATCCAAGTAAAGGGAAGTCGTTGACAATTTCAATCTTTAATCCATCTATTCTAGTGTTCATTGATCCAGTGATCAGATTTTTGAATTCTTGATGTTGAGTTGCAATCCATATTGTAGTATTTGATCTTCTACAGCAAGTGTTCAAGACTGACTACATTCATGACTACAAGATTCAGACTGACTACATTTGCGGATCTCTTCTACTTAAATATAAAATTAATCTCCAGAAAAGATTTGAGGCATTGAACACTAATGATCAAAGACCATATGAGTTATGGGATGAAGTAAAAGATATCATCCATGAAGAGAGCAAAAGGTTTTTATGAAGATTGAACAGGAAAAAAAGGACCAAAATAGATGTCAGAAGAGACTCTGAAAATTCCACTAGAACTTTGAGAAGCCAAAATGAAGGGACATGATACTGAAGTAAAAGAGTTGAGAAGAAGATTTCAAAGGGCAGCTTGAGAAGATAATGCAGAGTGTTATAATAGAAAGTTAGAATTGGAGACTAAAAAGGGAAGAACTTCCCCTCAAGCTGAGAGAACTGAAAATGTTGCAATACTACAGAATGCTATGGGCAACATCTTGTATAACCCAAGAAGTTTCAAAATAGTATGGAAGGACTACAGTAAGTCACTATACCAAAAAAAAAAATTGGTTGACACTGAAAAATTTTAGGAAGTACATATGACAAGAGCCAATGATAATGACGGTAGAAGTTCAAGCTGCACTGAAGGCTCTGGAAAAACTTAAGACTCCAGGAATTGATAGAATACCAATTGACATGTTTCAAGCAACAAATGCAATCCTGGATCTGCTCACCAGTCTCTGCCAGAAAGTTTAGAAGACAACTGCTTGGCCAACAGACTGGAAGAGATCCATATTTGTTCTCATTCTCAAGAAAAGGGATCCAACAGAATGTGCAAATTATTGAACAATATATCATTAATATCAAATGCAAGCAAAATATTGCTGAAGACCTTCCAAAACCAGCTAGAACAGGACATTGACAGGGAACTACTGGAAGTTCAAGCTGGGCTTAGAAGAGGCCGTGGCAACAAGGATATCATTGCTGATGTCAGATGGATTCTGGCTTATAGCAAAGAATACCAGAAGAATATCTGTTTGAGTTTTATTAACTATGCAAGAACATTTGAGTATGTGCCTTTGAGTCTTAGTAAAATAAAATCAACACTTGTGCTTGGGTGGGGATCCCACGTTGGTGCTCAGGCCCTAATTCCATTGTCTTGCCTCCTCTGAGTGCCCCTTGGCCAAGGCCCTTGTAGACCTGACCTGTACCTTTCTAGCTCATTTGTTCCACCCCTTCAATCATGGACCCACTCCCATAGCTCAGGCCCTTGCTATTAGTTGTACTTGCCTCCAGGGCACCAAAAACCAACATTAAGAACAATTTGCATTTCTGTTTCTGTGAATTAGGTCTTTCTTTCTTTCTTTCTTTCTTTCTTTCTTTCTTTCTTTCTTTCTTTCTTTCTTTCTTTCTTTCTTTCTTTCTTTCTTTCTTCTTATTCTTTCATTCTTTCATAATTTCTTGGAACTCTTCAGACGATCAGTTCTTTTTAAAACTTTTTTAAGAGACAATTTCAGCAGTTCATACCCCTTTTGTTTTGTGATGTTGCCTGTGATCCTGACTGTAACATCGTTCTCCCTGCTTCTTCCCTGTGTTATTAGTTTCCATTAATCCTTCATTGCTGTCTCTTTCTGTATGGCTCGTTATGCCAATGAGGACTTCTCTGGCATTATGTTACTGTCCACCTTATTCTATTGTTGTTGGGAGGTGTCCAATGGACTATGGCTCATCGTGACCTGTGGAGTTTGTCTTTCCATATGGCTTTTCCAGTGTGTTGTCGGCATGTACTATTGGGTTGGAACTTACTCATAGCTGACTCTCCAGAGGGTTTTTAGAGGCAGTTAATCACATGGGAAGAGATTGCCCTTCCTTCTCCTTTGGAGCAGCTGGTGGCCTTGAACTTCATCCCTTTGGGATTGCAGTGCAGCTTCTTGCCACTAGGCCACCTATGTGGAGGGGTGGGACTGAGTGAGTGTGTGTTGGCCTATCCACAAAGAGATCGGCTATCTAGCATTCCACAAGGGGATTGGCTGGTTTCAGCAATATACTAGAGGACTGGCTATTCTCGCCAATAAATTGAACAGCTTTAACTGCAGAAATGTGAAATCCTTCCCCCACCAGAAGGAGTATGCTGGCACCAGAAAGATGGAATTCTTCACCTCGACAGAGAAGGGAGAGATCTCCCTTAACCCAGTGAGTAGTAGGACACATTTTGGCATAGGAGCAGCAACAATGGCTGAGCTGGAGAAATGGATATGATCTGGTACTTTGGGGAGAGGAGAACCGATACTGGCAAGACTGAGAACACTGTTGGTTAATTATGGGGGAAGTCAATATCGGCAGGACTGAGAACTTGGAAACACTTAGAGCCATGAGGCTGAGGTGCCTGTTTGAACATTTTCGGAGCTGTCTTGACGACTATATTTTGTTATTAATCTGAATTATACCCCCAATATGGTTCTATGTGGTCTGTGAGCTATCACATTGCATTTTGGATCCCAATCAGTAAGATTTGTGTTGAGATGAGTAGAAGGAGGCATTGAGATAATGTCTGACGTCATGGGAATTGGTTTTGTGTTAATGACTCTGTGGGCAGGGATAGTTTTCTCCTGTGACGTTGGTGAAGATCTGATATGACACTCCCCATGTGCCCCTTGCTCTTTTGTACACAACCCTATGAATAATAGATTAAAACCTTGCCTTATTCTGCTCCATTCTCATGATCT